AACAACTTTCCTCTAGCCCATAAGATTATTTTGGCTGTGGGAAAAGTACAGCTTCTAGTGAATTTTCTTTAGCCTTTTCAAAATCAATTCACTAATTTTTAATAATTGCTTCCTTTAAGCAGGGGGTACTGACCTAGGTTCAGCTATTTCATTTCAAACTAGAATTTAATTTTAAAAGACTTTTTTGCTTGTTGGGGAAAAAAACTTTACCTAAGAAAAATTGGTCAACTGTGTGCTCTGCTGGAATTCTGCTAGAGAGATTATCACAGCAAGCTGGTGGCCTAGGGGGCCCAAAACAAATCATTTTTGTAAAATTGAAATTGGTTCATTTCAATTGATAGCTTTTCATTTAATTTTAAAATGTAAGTAGCTATTTTTAAAAGAAAAAAGAAAGTCTAAATTGCACTACTAATCCAATGAAATATTGCCAAGAGGATGAAAGCAGACAACTGTGAGCCATGTGGGGGATCCTTTCCAAAGCTTGCTTTTATACCTCTCTTCTGTTCTCATTAAAGCAAGTCCCAAAGATCAAATGAACTCAGGATACAAGCTGAAGGCAAGGGCACAAGTTGTTTACTTCATCTCTGCCAGCAGCCTGCTCGCCACCAGGCTGGAATACAGGCACACAGGTCAGAAGAATAATAATCCTATTTTCACCCTCCCAGGTCTCCATCAGGAGCCACCAGGGAGCAGTAGATGACTAAGTCACTCGTTTGGCTGCTTTCAGTTAGATATTTGCTTGAAAATCAAAGGGAAAGCTCATAGGAATGGGGAAGGGAAGAAGAATAGTAATAGCACCAATAGTTCACATTTGTGTGGTTTCATGATTCACAAAGTGCTTCACATACATGCCTGCGTTTGATCTTGCCTTTTGGTGAACAGGACATGCAGTCTTTGGTCCCATTGCACAGAAGAACAATTCCAACCCCAGAAATGTTAACAAGAATTTGTCCCCAATCATTCAGCTTGATTAGAACATGGGCTTTGAAGGCAGATGCCCTGGTTTGAATCCTGGCTTTATCACTTGCAAGCTATGTGGCCCTGGGAAGTTATTAACCTTTCTTGACCCATTTCCTCATCTGAAAAATGGAGCTAAAAATAGTATCCATCTCAAAGGTTGTTATAGAGATCAAGTGATAGGATGTGTATCAAGGACTAGGAACCCCTTTGACCCATAGTATTCAGCAAACACTACCATTACACTTGTAAAATGTTTTATGACTAACAAAATATATCCAGTTCAACTATATTCATTAAGCACCAGAGTCAAACACTGTGTCAAATGATGGGGATGCTAGAATAAATCAACCATGACCCCAGCCATCCCACAGGTCCAGATGACTGTAAGGAACAGCACAGAAAAATAGGCTCAGTCAGTACAAAGTTCATTATTTTCAACCATGAAGGTACTTAAAAGGAGAATTTAGCCCAGCCTGAAAGTGTTGGAGGGGGCTTCCTACAGGAAAATACTTCTGCAATTTTATCTTTCCTAAAACTCTCTCAAGAAACTTGTATTTTGTCCATTCTACAAATGAGTGAATGAATCAAGGCTTAGAAAAGGTCAAGGACTTCCCAAGCTCCCTCATATGGTGAGTGGCAAAGCCAAGTCTCAGTGATACTGAACTACCTCAAGGATACATTCCCTGTGAATTAAGTCATTGAGATACTAGGCTATTTTTTTCTTCCCCACTGTTTTCCATTTTTAAAAAGGAATAAAAGCAGTCATTCTTTCTGCATCTCCCTTTTCTATCCTCAAAAAATTTGGCACAATGTCAAATTATCTAAACTCCCAAATCTGCTAAGGGTCACAGTATCCTAAATTGGAAGGGACAGTTGTTTATTGGTAAGGATCTCCAGGCACAGAGACACACATTTCGTTGCACCACCTACAAGCTCTATGACAAAGTGCAAGAAATTAACCTCTTTGAATCTGTTTTTCCATTCATAAAATGGCACCATAATAGTTTCCACCTCCTAGAATTGGTATGATGATTAGCAGTGTTGGCATACATTATAACTACTCAATAAACATTTGCTATTAAGTTTATCTAAAGAAATGCCGCTTAGTTCATCCACTTCACCTCTCTGTTCTGATCACACAAATCATCTGTGTGTTCTTTTTTGAAAGCCTTCCCTGAAAGGAGACTTTAGAGCTTCACGTGTGAAGTATTTTAATGTTTAACCAATCTCATGACCTGGAAATCCAACTATTCCATACTTGACTTATGCTTTCACTTAAAATATTAATATTCTTCTGTGAGAAAAAGAGAGGTTGATCATGCTTTTTCTGAATAAATAAGTAACATCTCAACTTTCTCTCTCCCAAACTGTCTAATCCAAGAAGCTTCACTTTTGTCATTAGAAGCCTTTTATTTACTTCTTTCTACTTCTTTTTTGCTAGGCCTGGACAGGACTCCTTCCTATCTTGAGATTGGTGTGGTGATAATGCAGGTCATAATATTGTGTGTATGGTGCTCTTTATTTTCAAAGCATCTTCACCTACTTACCTTGTTGGTCAAAAAACAACTGAGAGAGATAGGGAGTGCAGGTATGAAGTTCATATTAAGGATGAGGAAACTCAAATATGAAGTAAAACATAACAATAGCTACTGTTGCATGGATTATGTTCCATGTCTCTTATGCATTTTATCTTATTAAACTTCTTACAAGGACCCTCTTTTGGTAGATGTTATTAGTTTAATTTGCAGGAGGGGGAAATTAGACTCAGAAAGGGATATCACATAACCAAATTTCTCCAGATAATGAGTGGTCAAGCTGAGAAGGGCCAGATCTGTCTTACTACAAAGCCAGTAAGCTCTATTACTGATTTTGAAGGTCTGCTCAACTCATCAGTGACTAACATGATGTGAAAATCCAGGGCTTTTGATTTACTGTCCAGGACACATCTATTTTTTTTTTTAGATTTATTTATTTTAGAGAGAGAGCATGGGCAGGAGGAGGGGCAGAGGGAGAATCTCCAACAGACTCCCCACTGAGCATGGAGCCCAAAGTGGGACTTGATCTCACAACTCAGGTCATGACCTGAGCCAAAATCAAGAGTCAGAGGCTTAATTGACTGTGCCCCCCAAGTGCTCCCCAGACACTTTTCATTAAAGCACTTATTCAGTCCTTGACTGGGCAAGGTACTAAAGCTAGACCCATCTATGACTAAGGTAGGTGCTGCTCACACAGAACCGCTGTGCATCCCCATTCCTAGCTGTCTTCTATTCTTAGCTTCCTGGTCTATGCCTGTAATTTTGAGGCTCTCAAGCATGCAGTCACAGAGTAATAATTTACAGATATAAATTATAATTTATATATTTTTAGAATTTTTGTATATTTAGATAATTATATATAAATATAAGTAGTATATGTATATATCACACATCAGCATGCATGTTTGTACATGTACATGTTTCCAGAACTGGCCAAATTCTCCAGCAAAAATAAAGATTTTTCACACATATAAATATGTGCAATATGTATACATGCACATATTTATATACATATATGTGTATAAACATACACACATATAATGTATATGTGTATGTATATGTATACACATAATGCAATATTATTTAGCCATAAAAAAGAATGAGATCTCACCATTTGCAACAGCATGGATGGACCTAGAGTGTATTATGGGTTCTTTTTAAAAGACTCCGTGAGAATCTTTTTTTTTTTTAAGATTTATTTATTTATGATAGAGAGAGAGAGAGAAAGAGAGGGAGAAAGAGAGAGAGACAGGAGGAGGGAGAAGCAGGCTCCATGCTGGGAGCCCAACATGGGACTCGATCCCGGGACTCCAGGATCACGCCTTGGGCCAAAGGCAGGCGCCAAACCGCTGAGCCACCCAAGGATCCCCAAGAGTGTATTATGTTAAGTAAAATAAGTCAGATAGACGAAGACATATACCATATGATTTTACTTATATGTAGAATCTAAAAAACAAAGTAAGTGAACGAATAAACAAAAAGCAGAAACAGACCCATAAACACAGAGAACTAGCTGGTGGTTGTCAGAGGGGAAGGAGGTAGGAAGATGAACAAAATGGGTGAAGGGGAGTAGGAAGTACAAGCTTCTAGTTATGAAATGAATAAATCACAGAGACGAAAGGCACAGCATAGGGAATATAGTCAATGGTATTGTAATAGCATTACATGAGAACAGATGGCAGTTACACTTGTGGAGAGCATAGCAAGATCTATAGACTTGTCAGATCAGTATGTTGTACACCTGAAACTAATGTAATATTGTCAACTACATTTCAATTAAAAAAAAAAAAGATTTGTCAAACCAAAGTTCTCAGAAAATCACCACTAAAGATAGTTCTTTGAGCATAAAATTAGTAGGTTTGCAAAAATGATAATTTCTTGCAGAAAATTTGAAACTGTTCCCTGACGCCCTCCCTCAACATACACTGAGAGCAAGGGAGAACCAAGAAACAAAGCGGATCAATCCAGATTGGTAGGTGGTTGTTTTAATAAGCAAGGGAAGTTACATATGAGGCTTATCTTCAGTGGTGGTAAGAAAAGGTCTCCACACGTCTGCCAGTCTCAAAAGTTTATACAGAAGCCTTATCAGGGTTGAGTCACACATATACCAGCCAGATGGTCTCAACAACTCACTCTCTCAAGGCTGCCTCCTTGAAATGGCTCCCACTGTGGGAACAGTGGGCTCATACATTTCAAGACAGGGAAAGAGGAGAAGCTTTTGATTGACTTCCCAGGTCAATTCTAGGTATAGGCCAGTGGGTGATCACATCCCCTAATGACCTCCCCCAACAATGTGGAAAAAATAAAAGACAAAAGATGCCAGAAGTGTCCTCCCTTCCCCTGAGTGTCCAGTCCATGTGGGCCAATACACATAGTCACATTGGAGTTATAAGGCAAGCACTGAGCTGAGGAATGGATTCCAACCATCTTCACCACCATAACCTGGAAAGGATGTGCTATGTTATTATTTGGGCTGCTATACTCATTCATTTTCCATTTCAAAAGGAGATGATGGTGAAAAAGGAGATCCAGGAGAGGAGGGGAAACATGGAAAAGTGGGACGCATGGGGCCGAAAGGTAAGTGCAATGACATGAATTTGACATTCTAATATTAGAATTGCTTTCTCTCTCTACTGGTGTTGCCCTGGAAATTGTCAGCTTTTGTAACACTCTCTGCTCCAAAGAAAAATGAAATGTATTTCAGATGGGAATTTACTCACCACCAGGGAGCTCCTATGACACTGTCGATAGGACTCAATGCATTTCTCAAGCTGCCTTCTTGGGGTGGGTAGGAGTGGACACTCCAGGAGCTGTAGGGAATAGCAGTCTCCAGAAACATCTAAGAAACCCTGAGTTTTAGAAATATAGCTGGGTTGATAGCTATGTCTCTTCTCAGAAGCCACTGCTAAACAACTCTTTTTGGGTGGCCTAGAGCGTAAGGAGGAAGATACGGAACTTCAAAAGAGTTGTCTGATCCATTGAGTTACCTATTTTCAAGAGCTGTCAGCAAATGGTGGGGTATGGGAAGAGCAGAGCAAAGAAGATGAGAATGACACAAAGGCTATTAAAGAGTGTTTTTACTCACAAAGCAAGAGCAATCTCACCAAAATATAGCTTTAGACATGATGTGTAAGTGTGTGTCTTCCAAGCATCGGACATATTTCCTGCCAACTGCTACAAGGCGGTGGTCATAGACCACTGATTTCAAAAATCTTCAGAAAGTTAAAGAGAAAAAAAAAAAAAGAACTCACAGGCCTTTGAGATCTCAAATTGAGAAATACTGATTTAAACTCTTCTTATTCTATAAATATGTACAATATTTTATAATTATATACAAATAGTTGCAAAATTATCACAGAGATAGTTTTATAGCTGTTAGGTATTTTTTAAGTCATCATACAAAGAAACAAAATTGATAACTATATATATTTATGTTTATATACTTATATAATATAAATATATCATATATAAAAATATGATATATTTATATTATATTTATATTTACAATATATTTATATATTATAATATTATATTATATTTAAATATAAATTTATATTTATATTATATTTATATTTCATATATATATATATATATATGAAAAATTGGTGGGACAATCACTGATGTCCCTTTGATCACTAGATTTTATGATTATACATTTCTTCCTGTTCTAAAAAATGGCTAGATGGTCAAATCTTTTTTTTTTAAAGATAAGAGGTTCTATTTTTTTTAAATATTTTATTTATTCATGAGAGACAGTGAGAGAGAGAGGGAGAGGCAGAGACACAGGCAGAGAGAAGCAGGCTCCATGCAGGGAGCCCGACGTGGGACTAGATCCCGGGTCTCCAGGATGGCGCCCTGGGCCCAAGGCAGCACTAAACTGCTGAGCCACCCGGGCTGCCCTAAGATAGTCAAATCTTAAAATAGGGAAGCAATAGGCTCTCAAAGTGAAGCCAAAAAGGGGCTGCAGAGGAATAGAATTAGAATGAAATATAAGAATTCTTCCGCTCAGCCCTTTATTTGACCTTTAGATTAAACATCCTCTACTATAGACCTTTTAGAAGTATTGTGTTGGTAAGCATTTTAATATTATTGGGTCCAGGATTTTCATACTTAGCCACATTTAGTTTTAATACAAACACTATAATGCTATTAAGGTAGATAAAAAAAGCACAGGATGTGTGTCGCATACCACAGATAGAAGAATGCACTTTTGGTATTTCCTTCAAGTGCATATCATGTGTTAGCCACATCTTCAAAGGGAATATAAGACCTTAGCATATAAAGATGACATGCTTTGCTTTTCAGGAATTAAGGGGGAGCTGGGTGATGCAGGAGACCAGGGCAACATTGGCAAGACTGGGCCCATTGGCAATAAGGGTAAGCTATGTTTTCCTTTCTTCCAGTGGCAGTTTGAAGCAAATCAATCACACCCTTGATATATTCTGAAGGACTCTGTATCATGAAAATGATCTCTTTTCTTTGTTTTAAAACATGAGTTTTTCTTCATATCTTAGCTGTGCCTTTCATACATAAACAATGTGTCTAAAAAAATAAATAAAGGCCTTGAGCAAGATTAAACTGAAATTCAGAGACAGAATCAAACATAAAGTTCTGGTAGTTTCTGTATTGAAGTATCTCCTAGAATCTGCTGATTATAATACTTGATACAATTAAAATGGGTATCGTGACCATAAAGCATGTTCAGTAGTAGAAAGCAATTATTTGTAAGACTCAAGGCAGCACACAGCAGAATTTTCTTTCTTTCTTTTCTTCTTTCTTTCTTTTCTTCTTTCTTTCTTTTCTTCTTTCTTTCTTTCCTTCAGATTTTATTTATTTATTTGAGAGAGAGAGCAGGAAGAGGGGACAGAGAGAGGGGGAGAGAGAGAATTTCAAGAAGACTTCCTGCTGAGTGCAGAGACCAATGTGGGGCTGGATCTCATGACCCTGAGACTATGACCTGAGCTGAAAGCAAGAGCTGGACACCCAACTGACTGAGCCACTTAGGGCCCCCAGTATATTTTTTTTTCTTAAACTGAGTGAAATAATAATGATTCTGCATCTGGGATTTATTAACAGATTAGAAACTTTAAGTGTATATATTCATACCATTTTGTCTTGTCCCAATCCTGCACAAAATTACTACTTTCCTATTATAATACAGGGGTGGCCTCCTCTTTATTATCTAAGCACTCCTCCATATTGTCTTCTCATTGAATGATAGCAGGTTCCAATAGCTTCTGCTGGCCAACAGTTCATACTGAGATTGTTCTACTTAGTTTGAAGATACAAAGGCGAATGAGAATAACAATTTTATTGTAAGGAGCTCATAGACTACTTAGGGAATAGGACATAGGACTTTCTCAGAAAGAATTATAATACTAAATAACTAAATGACTACTATAGGAACCATGTGGGAGACTAAGGCCAGATTGATATAAAGACTTGACCTAGGTCTTGAAAAACAGTGACATGTTTATGGAAATACAGGGAAAGGCATTTGAGGTGGGAGGCAAGAGATACTTGTGCAAAGGTATAGATCTGGGGAAACTCAATGCCACAGGTAACAGAATTCTGCAGCTTTGATGCATATCCGGCAGCCTTCCTTCCATATGTGCCTGAGCAGCTGCATAACCAATCATGTACCTCCTAGGCACCTGCGGTATGTTCTTGGGCAGGCTGATAAATGCATTGGAAGCTGAGGCTGTGGCCCCACTCCTCTTGTCCTATAGCTTGGTACCTCCTCTCTCCCTGTCCTTTTCCAACTCATTCCTTTGAGAATTTTCCTTCAGCCTGCATTTGAGAGCAGGGATAGAGTGTAGTGCCACTGAAAAGAAATTGCTACGCTTATTTTTGATTCAGTGGCTTATAGTGTATGTTCACCTGTGATTCTAATTCTCATAGCTGGAACAAGCTAGAAGGACTCCTCATCGATTATGATTCTTTCTGTAGTATGTATTTTGGGTGGTTTTACCATGAAACTAATGAAACTTTGGTTCAGAGCCCCCACACTTTTTAGATTCCTTCCTAAGTCCCTGAGAAGAGTCTCATCAATGGGTGCACATGGCCATATGTCTTGGTAAAGTTTGTAAAGTAAGGCATTTTATCCTCAGCTGGTTAAAAGAATATCTCTTAACATTTAAAAAAGCACAAATATTTCCTACTTAACCAGCCTTTTTTTTTTTGCTTAACCAGCCTTTTTAGACATATTGCCCCCCAAACCAACCAGTTTGTTAGACATTTTTTTCTAATTGCCCTCCCAAATGAAATTTTAATACCGCCCTTGGACTATGTATCTGTTATGTATTGTGTGTATATTTTTGCTTTATGTAAAAACACAGTAAGATTTTTCACCCCTCTAGAACTGATCATTTAGCAGGTGATCCTCATTGAGAATGCATCACTGTCTCCTGCTTCAGCTTCCCTCCATTACATTTTTCTTTGTATCAGCTGATCAAAGGAGTGGACACAAGTATTTTGGGAGCTCACCAAGAGGAGCTTGAGTGAGAGAAACATATAGTTTAGACTTTATGGGATATGCTTACATAGTCTGCAGTTATTTCCACAGAGAGTTATAGCTAATATTTTCAATCTAGGAATAGCTTCCAAGAATATTCCTACCACTTACAGTGTAGATCTCTCCCAGGTCATGGTGAAAACGTGCAGGAGTAGAGATTGGATCATCATATGAATGTGTCTTGGCACATCTAGAACAAGGAATGTGTGAGTTGTGGAAAAGAAACAACGTTTGAAATGTACAGGGCTAGGGCTGGGCTTTGAAAAATGTTTTCAAACCCAACAGCTCTTATATGAAAAGGATTTTAGAGAGGTATCCTCAAATTTGACAATATTTTTAATTTACATAAATCATCAATCCTAAGTGGCAAAGATAAAGAAATTTCTTAATTTTACTATTAATAATAAAACAAAATTCAGATTTCTGCTATAAGCTATGAGAAATTCACTTGCATTAATCCATCTGTTAAGAATGACTACCTGAGTCAAAACAAACAAAACAAAAAAAACAAATATAAATTTGAATGTGTGGGAGAGCTACCAAACTGAATAGGACTTTAGGGGCCTAATCTGGAGGAGAAGAGAAACACACTAAGGTGGCTGTGCATTCAGTACTATTTTTCCTTTCAAATCATTCACCAATTCATAAGCAAGGCAGCACTAGAAGATTGAGAAGCTCATGCACAAAGTTGCTCAAACTGAACTGGCATTCAAGGCCTACCAAAAGAGAGTGGCCCAGGAAAATGTCACTCTTTTTCACTTCAAAAATAAACTTTTTCATTTAGAACTCCAGAAATTCTGAAAAATATTTATTAAACATATACCCATTGGTGTTTCAAAATATATTTGAATTAGAGGGTAACATTTAATTTGAAAGGTAATATCAACACCAGGAAGAGAAACCTATTAAAAATCATACTCAAAAGGGAATCTTGAACACTTCTCTCCTGAGATTGGAAACGAGATGAGCCACAGCCCTCATCCCCAGTTCTAAGCAACATCATAGCAGAGGTCCTAGCTAGAGAAAAATGGTAAGAACAAGAGATAAGAATCACAATAATTGGAAACAAAAAATGAAAGTGTCATTATTTGCAGATGATGTGATTGCATATCCAAAAAATACAAGCAATCAATGTTACCCAGGGCAATTTACACGTTTAATGCAATCCCTATCAAAATACCATGGACTTTCTTCAGAGACTTAGAACAAATTATTTTAAGATTTGTGTGAAATCAGAAAAGACCCCGAATAGCCAGGGGAATTTTAAAAAAGAAAACCATAGCTGGCGGCATCACAATGCCAGATTTCAGGTTGTACTACAAAGCTGTGGTCATCAAGACAGTGTGGTACTGGCACAAAAACAGACACATAGATCAATGGAACAGAATAGAGAACCCAGAAGTGGATCCTCAACTTTATGGTCAACTAATATTCGATAAAGGAGGAAAGACTATCCACTGGAAGAAAGACAATCTCTTCAATAAATGGTGCTGGGAAAATTGGACATCCACATGCAGAAGAATGAAACTAGACCACTCTCTTGCACCATACACAAAGATAAACTCAAAATGGATGAAAGATCTAAATGTGAGACAAGATTCCATCAAAATCCTAGAGGAGAACACAGGCAACACCCTTTTTGAACTCGGCCACAGAAACTTCTTGAAAGATACATCCACAAAGGCAAGAGAAACAAAAGCAAAAATGAACTATTGGGACTTCATCAAGGTAAGAAGCTTTTGCACAGCAAAGGATACAGTCAACAAAACTAAAAGACAACCTACAGAATGGGAGAAGATATTTGCAAATGACGTATCAGATAAAGGGCTAGTTTCCAAGATCTATAAAGAACTTCTTAAACTCAACACCAAAGAAACAATCCAATCATGAAATGGGCAAAAGACATGAAGAGAAATCTCACAGAGGAAGACATAGACATGGCCAACACGCACATGAGAAAATGCTCTGCATCACTTGCCATCAGGGAAATACAAATCAAAACCACAATGAGATACCACCTCACACCAGTGAGAATGGGGAAAATTAACAAGGCAGGAAACCACAAATGTTGGAGAGGATGCGGAGAAAAGGGAACCCTCTTACACTGTTGGTGGGAATGTGAACTGGTGCAGCCACTCTGGAAAACTGTGTGGAGATTCCTCAAAGAGTTAAAAATAGACCTGCCCTACGACCTAGCAATTGCACTGCTGGGGATTTACCCCAAAGATACCGATAAAACGCCGGGGCACCTGCACCCCGATGTTTATAATAGCAATGGCCACAATAGCCAAACTGTGGAAGGAGCTTCGGTGTCCATCGAAAGATGAATGGATAAAGAAGATGTGGTCTATGTATACAATGGAATATTCCTCAGCCATTAGAAACGACAAATACCCACCATTTGCTTCAACGTGGATGGAACTGGAGGGTATTATGCTGAGTGAAATGAGTCAATCGGAGAAGGACAAACATTATATGTTCTCATTCATTTGGGGAATATAAATAATAGTGAAAGGGAATAGAAGGGAAGGGAGAAGAGATGGGTAGGAAATATCAGAAAGGGAGACAGAACATGAAAACTCCTAACTCTGGGAAATGAACTGGGGGTGGTGGAAGGGGAGGAGGGTGGGGGGTGGGGGTGAATGGGTAAAGGGCACTGAGGGGGGCACTTGACGGAATGAGCACTGGGTGTTATTCTGTATGTTGGCAAATTGAACACCAATGAAAAAATAAATTTATTATTAAAAAAATACAAATGAATCTACAGATTAACTATTTGTACTGAGTTTTTTACAGTTTAGCCATACAAAACTCAATTTTCTTTCTATATGATCAGAAATCAGTAATCAGAAACATGAAATGA